GTCCCCCTCCCCCTCCCCCTCCCCCTCCCCCAAATCTCCCTCTTCTTCTACCTCTACATTTAGGACACAGTTATAAGAGGGAGGGAGATGGAGGGGAGAGAGCCAACGGTAAACACATGGAACTAAAGGAATTTTAATAAAAATATCCACAGAATATGGGTTTTGATGGTTGATTGAAATAAAATATACTTTTACGATAGTACATGTATAAATTAAACAATAAATATGGTTCTTTTATTACACCCCTATTTTAAAGGTGGTTTCCATATAAAAAACGGATATATACACTGTAGTAGTAAAAAATATTAATTTATACATTTATATTACCTACATTCCCACCATCTCAACTCATAGTCATCTTTGACCAAAAGGCCTTCCACATGGGCAAACGATGACTAGTGACTACTGACGGAACATTAACTAAGCAATCATGAGCATGTATATGGTATTAAGAAAAACATAATACACCTCTGTATCATATAAATAAGCATGAATGATCATGGACAAGAAGAACTTGGACACCTTTGCAGAAGTTCAGTAGGTCATCAATAGACACTAAAAAGTTGATTCATTGGTTAAGAAACAAACAATATAATTATTTCATCGCAGGTGCAATATAACTAAAAAAATTGTTGGCATTCATTTCCCGAATGTTGCTCTATGGCAGTATCAGCCAAATTATCAGCTAAATAAATGAGAGTTAACAAACTTCAATTTAAAATTTAAAAAAATAAAATAGAAACATAAATTATAGAAGTACAACAAGTAGACCAATGCACTCAAGGCTGGTCATAATGGATTTCAACACCTCTAAAATGAGATCTCATAATTCAACGTACTCTCAGCCATTATCTTTGGCCTGATGCCTTTCTCTGCCAAATTGAAGGATGCAGAAACCTGGAAAAAGACAAAGCAGAAATAACTAAAAGAGAAGAAATGCGAAAATATTGTTTACAACAATGCAAACTTGAGTTAATTAATACAAGGAACTATGTAATTCAGTAGATATCAACAGGCAGTAACCTTAAGTGCAGTAACCAAATTCAAGGAGACCCCTCTAAGTAGTACACTAAACAAATTTCAACTAAATTATCAATAAACTGTGAGGCAGTAACCTAGTGAATTACCAATAAATATAAAATCATAAGATGTGTGTCAAGGTCGATGTGTGTCAAGGTCCTTTGGGAAGATTTGGAGCCAAATAATTCATACTGGGAAATTAGTTTGACCTAGTACAAAGTCCAATATAATTTTGGGAGGAGAAATAGATCAATTTACAGTCTTTTAAAGAAAAAGAATTTGGCAATCCACTTGATTGAAGAAATAAGTTAAGAGAGCATTGAGAAGTAGCTACCTGTTCAGGTATGAACTAATGGCCTCTTCGAAAAAAAGTATTATCCCCCTTCTCATGCTACTTTAAAACAATATTCTGCTCATTTCACATCTACTTGAATGCTGATCATAATTCTTAGTCAGATGACATAACATTACTGCCTCTACTTGGAGAACACATTCTTTTTTTTTATGCATAGGAACATTTATCTTTCATCTTGTTCGTACTTCTTAGAATCTAAAAAATGAAGTGGAGAAGAAAAATAAAAACAAACAATACCTTAAAGCAACCATTGACGTTTGAGTCCCTATTCCATTCCAGCCCTAGAGTTTTGGCAGATGTCTGATATGTAGCCTTGATTGAGTCACCCCCCTCAAACTTCCTCGACAGAGCAAAGTCCCATACATTTTTTGACACATCATAACATGGTTCAATCACTGTTCTCCTCATCTTTCCATGAGCATACACGTACTTTACCTTGCAGTTCCCAGACCCAAAGGCATAGCTCATAGTCACTTTATTCACTGGATCCAATGCAACTGACGTATCTAAAGCAGTCCGGTTGTCTCCACGAGCATGAACATAAGTCAAACTCACTGGCTTTTCTAGCACTTTCACTGTGTTCATAAACTGGAATCTGAAATCCTGTGTGAAAAAGAGATGATTAAAGGATGATCTTGTTATCTAAACATGAGTGAAATACATGCTGACTGAGGTATTACAATCTTGGTAGGGTAAATTCTAGAAAAACGAGAAAATGAAATAAAATCAGTTTAAAGAATTTGACGTTGATCTCAGTGAATACGAGAACATAACCCAATCATTACGATGCATATACCAAGTAACATTACAAGCATCCAAGGGGTGAAAGTTTTCACAACAAGAAAAGAAACGAGCAGCAGAGTCAACATTTCTTTAAGAAATGACTTAATTTTCAAAAGGAAAAAAGGAAGAAAATTGATAGATGAGTTCAAAATATTGTAGTTCTGGACAGGGAAATGAAGTGTAGGCACCCCTAGGATCCAAATTACAAAAGCAGAGACACTGCGCTATATGTATGTTGCACGGATATGAGTGCCGGTGCAGACACAAACATGGATGTGGATATGGGACACAACTATATACATACATATTAAAATAAATAATCTATATGAGATCAATATTATTTTTGAAAATCCCTATAACATTTATATATTTCTTTTATTGAGTAGATTATAAACTAAAACACCACTCGTTCTTGAATTAGATACCCAAATGAACTTTTAAATTAATATTAAGTCCAATGAGTTGCACAAATTTGAGGTGAAGTGTGCGATATACTTTCAAGAAGTGTACCACAAAATTTTTAAACTGAAACATGTATTATATAATTGAGTACATGTCTGAATAAATGTATGTATATATTCAACAAGTGTCCAAGGAGTGGCGAACATGACACAGATGTCGGACACAGATATGGTAACCTAGATAAAGTGTCCGAGCAACCTAGCTCTACATATGTTCCTATAAGCACACATATTAAACATATACTACCTCTGGTCACTTTTAAAAATCTTTAAGAAAATAAGAGTAACAAATTGTGATTCTAAAATTAAATTGTTGATTGCTTTCCATAACCACCATCGACATGTACTGAACTTGACAAAAATGCCATAAAAAATAAAGAGAATATGGAAATTAAAAAAGTTGGACAATGGAAATAAATTTTAGCTTAGTTGGTAAACAACCTTATTTAGTTTTATCATAATCACTATTAACCTTAACAACTTCTATAATTGACTAAAGGGATTTGGGTGTAGTATATGAGTGGATGAGGGCCGGTATGTCCGTCCATACTCTTGGTCAGTATGTTGTTGACATGACAAACATCTAGTAAAATATAACCTTCAAGATCGAGTGGGGATCATATCAAAACTGGTCCTATAATTTAATTTATGTAGATCATGCAGATCTTGACACATGTAAATTTAAAAAGTTAAGAGATAGGAACCCAATAACTAGAAGTTTATCTTCCTCTTCAATCTAACGATCCATACTATTAACCCCCTCATGGTGCCCACCTCCTTCCTCCCAAACATCCTCAGCATCATCGTCGGAGCCAAAGAACTCATCACCCACTGCCTCTAACTGGACCTCTCCTTCTGAGAGCACAAAACTCTCACCCTCTCTTATATGCTCCAACATGTTTTAATACAAAAATTAATGATGGGTTTCTCTCTAATCAATACCCCCAACAACCCAAAATTAATAATGGGTCCCTTCAATCACAAAAAAAAAATCAATACCCAATTACCAAAATTTCCAGTATGAATAGAAAATCGCGATCTCTCTTCTCTATGTTAGATTTTGATTTTTATGATGATGATAATTTTTTTGATTTATTTTGGTGAGATCTAATTGATATTGTTCTGGACATTGAGCGTGAAGACTCAGAATAGTTCTACTGTATTTAAAGTTGGGGAAATATTAAGTTAGTAAATAAAATTGCGAGACCTTGCAGGACCCGACGCCAAATAATTTGTTGTCCCCTTCTCTTTTGATTGCCACCCGCGACTCCAAGAGCATATCTAGGAACTTTGGTCATGGGGAAAGACTATACGCTACAAGTATAACTAGTACAAAATATTTTTTACATATATATTAATGAAACCAATATTAAATATGCATATATATGTACAAATAAAATAGAGTCAACAGAAGTACCTTAATAAATTCTTTACAAATGATCCCCCACATAATTTTATATTTTAATAACGTTGTATGATATTCTCGTAGTCTATGCTATCAAAGATATATCTTATCAAAGATATATCTTTCAATATAAGTGACCAAACAATGGGATCAGATATAGTGCATGTAAATTAAAAAATGAACGCGTAACTTGAAGCTTGCGAGTAAACTCTTCTAGCGATTAAAAAGTCGAAGCGGAAAGTTTCATTTTTTAAATTTAGTAATTGACTAGAAATTGGAATTGGGTAAATAGGTCGGGTTGTAGCCCATTTTAGATGCTTTATTTCATGGTTTTAGAGGCTTGAAGCGTAATGGAGTTAAATATAGTAGGAGCAAATTGAAAATGGACTTATTATTAAATATAAATTTTAAGGAGGTCAGTGGGGGCAATTAGGGCAATTGCTCCCACTGGCCCCACCCTAAATTTGCCCATATTTGACTTCCATTACGAGAACCCCACGCAATAGACTTTTATTGAAAGCTTGCCTTCCACCCTTCAGGCAATTATGACGGAGATTCCTCCATTGTTTTATTCTTTTCTAATTTAAAAAAATTAAAGATTTGCACTTTATTCTCACAAGCACACTGAGTAATCACAATAAAAGAGGGTACATGCAGCATATCCACATAAGCTAAACTATAGGACCAGTTCTAATAGGATCCCTAATCCTCATGATCAACATATTCAGATCATAGCTAATGACCTAAAATAGATGTGTACCACATCAATGACACAACATCCAGGGGCATGGAGGGACACAAAACCCCCCCATCTAAGAAGTGTTTGTGCATGCATGGGCAGGTGGGTGCGTGCATGTGAACTTATTTTCTAAAATATCCAGCAAAAGGTCTATAAATTGAGTGTGGACTTTTCTTTACTGTGGCTCTTGACTGAAGCAAACTGTTCATTAGTTTATTTCAGCTCAACTGGGACTTTAATGGACTTTCTTTTAGACTTTGCTAAACCAATATGAAAAGTGATCCTTGAATCATTAGTTTGTTTCCATAATGAGGGATTATTCATTCAATGTTGTTAATTAGTACTCGGTTTTTTGTCGGATTTTGATTTAAGATATTATTCACTCAGAACTAGGATTTTGATTTAAATTTAAGGTGTTATTCATTTAGAATTATAATTTAAATTTAAATTTAAGATGTTATTCGTATAGGACTAAGATTCAAATTTAAATTTAAGATGTTATTTTCTTAGGACTAGGATTTGGATTTAGATTAAGGTGTTGTTCGTTTAAGACTTGGATTTGGATTTAGATTTAAGATGTTATTGATTATTTCAGATTTTGTTTTGGATTAGAGTTCTAGAATCCATATTCCAATCCAACTACATATTTTCCTTTTGAATTGAGACCTCAAAAAGTCCAAACAAAATTTTGTGGGCTTCTTGTTGTCACCTTGGATTTTAAATATAATGTCTATTCTATTATATAATTAAATATAATTCTTTTACGTAGTTGAACACTAGTTATAGAAAAGAAAAAATTTTGGGGGGAGAGGGGCATGGTTTTCAGATTGAATCCTAATGTGTCTCACAATCCGAATTTTTCAGAAAGAATAAATTTTTTGGATCGGTTTATTATTAAAGAACCAAGTGGGGGTAAAGAAAACTTTAGAGGAAATGGGACAACAAGAAGAAATGAGGTAAAATAGTACTTTAAATTTAAATACAATAAATGTCATTACATGATATAGATGTTATTAAAACATATGTTATATTAATATTTATTAAACCAGGAAAAGTGATTGGAAGTAATTAAAAACAACGGATATGCAGTTATTAAATATTTATTAATAAAAATTATAGAAATATAATAAACAAATATGTATTATGTTGGAAATTATAAAAAGTAATTTTAAATAATAACTATCTTACGAATAATTGGTTAAGATAAGCAAATATAATTTATCTGTCTTATACCACTCAATAAATTACAACATCCAAATTATGAATATGAACTCAAAATCTTAATCAGATTTTGAACATGTCACCTCTAATTAAAAGCTTTCTTTTTCATCTCACATGCATTTGCACGTGTCAAATTTCTAGTTTCTATATAATTTCTTCTGTTATGCTATTCCTTAATCGACATTAGGGTGTCAATTGAAATGAATTTTAATTATATCTTATAATTTATTATTTAACATATTAATCTAATGCAAAAATCCTAACTTAAGTAGATCGAATTTAAATATTAGTCCGGAAATCCAACCTTCAATCCAATAATCCAAACCAAAAGCTTAAGAATTCTACTCAATAATTAAAATCCAACCTAGGAGTGCAGGGCTCTAATAAAAAACTCTTATTCCTAATCCGAATCCAAAAATGTCGGAGTCATAGAGCTTAGACGTTCTCAACAATCCGGAATGAATAACATCTCCTAAGAAGTAATATGTAATGGATTGTTCATAATCATTGTACCCCTATATTAGGAAATGACCATATAATATGGACTTGATTGTAGAATTGATTGGATGGTCTAAATTAATTGCACCCCTACAATCATGAATGTTTGAGCATATAAGTGGGGCTTGATTGTGCGCTTGAGTCAAGGTTATTATGAAAACAAGACACAAGCCTTTTTACCATGAAAAAATAACAGGAAAATGCAACAACTCATTTCTTTTATCAGATTTTTTTATACTAGAAAAGTGCACAAGTTAAACATGTAAATATGCAATCCTTCTTACATCATTATATCATTATATCATATGGGGGGAAAACAAATGACTTTAAAAGATATCATCGTTTTAAAAGGTTTAGGAGATTAAGTTTTTTCGTCATGCATTTTCTTCTATCTGAACCAACTAAACTAAAATCACGAATTTCCTTTAAGCAAACTGAAATTCTATATGTTTACTAATTGTCTCTAAGGCTCTGTTTGGTTTGATGGAAAGAAAGG